CAGCACGGAGATGTTTACACGTTCACGGATTCCGTTTTCCTCCTGCAGTCGGCATCATCGTGTTTTGTGAGATGGAGGAGGACTTTGTGGATTGGTGTTAGACATATGGGTTAATGTTGGACTTGTGGGCTTGGGCAGCACTGGGTTGGGATGTTTTCTTGATACGTACTTAACCTTTATATAAAACTCTCTCATACATGAGTTTCTGTAGATTTGTTTCTCTAAAGTATCCAGATTAATACACCCCCTAATTACTGACTATGGTTGTAACATCTGTGTGGCCGCTGTAATGACTTGTTGAAGCAAGCAGAGAAGAAGCGTGTCTTGGGCAGAATAGTTGGCATTAGAACTGGTAGAGAAAGTTGGAAGTAGAGGTATGCCTGACTTTCGCTTTCATAGGAAATCAGTGTTAGGCTGATGTTGAGTTTGATTCTCCTTTCCTCCTTTCTCCAACACCATTATTACAGGCAAAAACAGAGATGAAGGGGGGGGGGGGGGGACACACCTCATTTTACCTACTCATTATCACAACTTCAGAGGTACCTTCAATTCCACTTAGGAGGTAGAGGGAGTACAGTAGAGCTCTCTTGCCTCCTATTCTCACTGGTCCCCTATCTTTGGGGGGAGGGGTGGTAGGGAATTGAAATACCTATTTATAGCTATACAGAACTTATGCCTAATGGCTTGTTTCCAATTAAACTTAGATTATAAAAAGCTCCAATGGCTGTTCCCTATCTACCAGTAGAAGCCTACTGACATTTATAAAGCATTTCTTTCCTTATCTTCCCAGTATCCCAAGATTTCCAAGGTAAACTTTGTATAAGAAATGATGTAATGTATCATATGTTGATCTGCTATCCTCAAAGTACATGGCTCAAACCCACTAAGGTGCTCTGCCGCAGAAAGAAGAGGCTAGTTGCTCCCATACAACTTCAGAAACCCCACACCGGGTCCCTGTGAGAAGAAATCAACTGGATGGCAGTACTCCTGTGGTTCTCACTAGTCCTAAATCTTAATCTAACCCGGTCTTGAATTTGACTGGAATAAATCCAAACCAAACCAAACCCACTGCTACCTTGTAGATTTCAACTCATAATTACCCTATACCGTTTCTGAGGCTGCAAATCTTTATAGAAGATAGCCTAATGTGGGGAATTTGAATCATCATGAGTCTGAGTTTCCATGAGCCCTTACCCACCAGAACAAGGTAATACTGCATGGCTTAACATCAGGAAATGTGTGCGCCAGGACTATATCCTCTGTCATACTAATTCAGTCTGTATGCTGAGCCAATAACCAGAGAAAGTGGACTATATGAAGAATGCAGCATCAGGATTGGAGAAAGGCTTACTAACAACCTGATATGCAGATGACAACTTTGCTTGCAGAAAACTTGCTGATGAAGATCAAGGATTGCAGCCTACATTATGGATTTCACCTCAATGTATAGAAGTCCAAAGTCTACACAATTGGATCAATAGATTTGACTCAGATCTGCTACATAAGACCTCTTTAAAATGTTGAAAAGCAAGCATGTTACTTTGAGGCCTGGAGGTGGGCCTGACTTAAGCCCCATTTTGAATGCACGTGAAAAAGCTGGATATTGAATAAGGAGAATCATGTGTCGGAATTATGGTGCTAGCAAAGAATATTCAAAGTACCACAGACTGCTAAAAGAACAAGCAAATCTGTCTGGGAAGAAGTATACAGCCAGAATGTTCCTTCCTTACCTTCCTTAGAGGCAAGGATGGTAAGACTTTGTTTCACATATTTTGGACACATTGTCAAGAGAGACCAATCCCTGGAGAAAGACATCATGCTTGGTAAAGTGGAAGGACAGTGAAAAAAGAGGAAGGTCCTCAGTAAGAGGGACTATACAGTGGCTGCAACACGGGCTCAATCTTATCAACTGTGTGGATGGGGAGGGCCAAGCAGTGTTTCATTCTGTCAAGTAGGGTTGCTATGAGTCAGAACCGAATCCACAGCACCTGAGCATGCCTAACTTTTATAACCAGAAAAAAGCAGATACGCATACATATATGAAGTTGTATCATCCTTTATCATAAAAAAAAAACCACCCCAAACCCAATGCCACGGAATCATCTATTTATTATCAAACCGGGAGAACCAGCTTTATAACACTTGGATCCAATCTAGCTTAGAAGTCAGTGGATGAGAACAGAAGTGGCACTAATCACAATCATTGGTCCATTTTCATACTGCCTCCAAAATACACCAAGCAGCTTTTATTTATCCCATTTCCAATAGCCAGATGAACCAGTAAGATATTTATCATTAGGTTGCTTTTGTTTTGTTTTTTATGTCACAAAAGCACAAGTTGAAATTTAGCTAGAATTTCTTGACATTAGGAAAAAACTTGGCAGGATATGATCCCGTTTTACAATCTGATTGTAGTCTCACAGCATGTTCTTGATCTCTTTTTTCCTATCTCAAATTGTCTACAGCCAATTATAGCAACAATGTCTACTTTAAGCCACTTGTTGCTTTCTTTTCAAAGAGCATTTGGAACATTTAATAAGATACTTTGTGTTGACTAATACAAAGCAGTATATATTTTCAGTATATTTTCTTGGGCTTTGTTTTACAGAGAATTAAAAGTTAAAAAACATGATATACCCTTTGATCCTAAGGAGCCTTGGTAGCATAGTGGGTATGTGCTGGGCTCTGCTCCACAGGTCAGGTCACCAGTTTGAAGCCACTAGCCACTATACCTCTACTCTTATGAAGAGTTACAGACTTGGAAACCCACATGGGAAGTTCTACCCTGTCCTATGTGGTTCACTGTGAGTCGACATCAACAGAGAATGATTAGTGATCTTGCTACCACACACGTGACTTTATCATAGTGCTCTTGACTGATTCCTTACATTGAAACTGGCACCATTTAAACTTGAGTTTAAATTAAAATCAAGGCATTCCAAAAAGCTCTTGTTTGAAGACTATAAACAATTACTCATTAGAAAACGTTTGTCTACTTTGGTCATGTCTTTGAATTGATTCGGAAGGTGAAGGCATGAGGCCTGGAGAATTGCGGGAAGACCTATGAAACGAAATACGCTTCTCCAGAAATGAAGAACCAGTGATAGTCTTCACAAATGGGAATGTGTTGAACACAGCAACAGAAAGAGGTTGAAAAATGCCCAAGAAGCACTTGTTTAGACAGAGCTTTCTGTGTGGAGAGATTTGTGTCTTATCTTTAGATTCTTGGTGACTGGCAGAGGAAGCCAATAATGCTTGTCAAATTCAAATGACAAATAGGCCTGGGCTACTACCAAAAGAAAAGATCACTCAAAAAGATACCGACCACTTAATTTGCATACACAAAAAACAAATGGAATCACTTAATGCTTCTTTTCCCTCAATCTTTTTCCCCAGTGACTTCGAATAATCCACTAGTGTAGTTTAAGTTATCTGCAATCATAAAAAGTGAGTCAGGACATTTTAAATTGTATAAATATACTGTGCTTTCCGCCTACATACCACACACACATAAATAAAACACATGAAACTGAGCTACAAACATCAGACTTTAAAAATAGTTATGGTTATGAGCAAAGCTTAAAGAATATAAAAACAGTGGTAGCCTAACCGTCCCTAAATGTTAACAAGATGTTAAAATTCTGGAGGTTAAAAGGAAAAAGAATTTCCCTTGGAACAAGGCACAATTACAAAAATTAAACAATCTTTTTCAGAGCAAATTTCTCTTGAGTTAAAGCCATTCACATCTGTTAAGTAGTGAACGCTGAGAGCAGGCACCAGGGGGCCTCCCAGGAATAAGGAAACTAAAAGGTGAGTAAGCGTTCCTGGTAAAACTTTGCCTCATATTCAGCCTCAGACTGTTGAAGGTTTGTTTTCACATCTGGGACAAAGATACGGTACTTGGTTACACAACGGATACAGTCTGAACGGATGTTGTTTCAGGTACCCACACATTAGTTGAGGGGGAAAAAAAAACAAGCGGAACTAGCTCCCTACCCAAATCGTATTAACCTTCTTTGGTGATTTTCCAAATTTAAGTATAGACTGCTTCATTGCAATAGACAATTCTCCAGATAATCTGAAAGCAAACAGCACTCAGTATATATACACAATACATGGTATCTAAATTTACATTTTAACAAAGGCTTGATTTTCTTTTCTTCAAAACACGCGCGCGCACGCGCGCGCACACACCGATTAGCAATGACGCAGATTTGGGGGCAAAGAGACTCACCGGCAGAAGACTGAGATTAATTCGGAAAAATTTCTTGCAATAAATCAATCCATGGAACTCCCCTTTCCAGTTTTTCCCTTTTATTCCACCTCCACCCCCCTTCTCACCAACACCAAACTATTCCTTAAAAGCCACCTGGGCCCAGGAACTTTAAAAATGCCGTGAAGACTTGTAAATAAATACCTTTCAAACACAAGAGAAGCAAGCTTTCTGATAGACCTTTACTAACTTTGTTCGGTAATTAAGTTCTTTTTAAGTTGGTGCAAATTCTCAAAGGCAAACCGATTTACTTTTCGAATTTCTTAAGTGCGCCTTCAACTAGATCCAAGACTTTGTTGTACTAAATAAAACATGGTAGGTATTGCACTCCCGCGATTTTTCACCCTCTCCTCAAAAAGAATCCCAAGCCCTGCGATTGCATCCCATAGCCACGCTGAAGGGCCGATTAAACCAGCACCTTAAGGAGGCGGGCGTAACACTCAAGGCCAAGGTACGAGAGCACGGGGGACACCATTCCACGGACCTACCATGCAGCCCAGCCAGCACGCAGCCTCCTTGCAAAGGGTCACCGGAGCGAGATCAGCGAGGGGAAGCCCGCACCCCCTTCGTAAAGGCTGTCGCCCCGCAGACGGGGTCCCTCCACCCCCCAGGCCAGCGCGCCTCAGCCCCCAAGGAAATAACCCCCCGGAGCCCCCCGGAGGCCGCGGGCGCGGCGTCCCTGCAGCCGACCTCCCCAGGCCGCTCCCCGCGACAGCAAGCCGCCCGGCCTCCCTCCTCCGCGGGCCCACGGCTCGCCCGCGCCGCTCCCTCCGCAGACGCTGCTCCCGGGGCGGAAAAGAAGGTCCCCTCTAGTTTCGGCGGGGGACGGGGAAACGAGGCGA